AAGAGAGGATCGTCCTCTTAGTTACGGTTGTTATCGGGATACTTGACTTTGACAGCTCTGTATAGAACACTCTGTTTCTTTATTAATAAAGTTCCTCTTCATTATAACATCTCTAAGTTTATTACGCGAGTGCGGAAGTGCGCGAGAGTCTCGAGTGCGTGTCGCGAGTGCCGCTTTGCGACGAGCGTAACAATACGTTACTCGGCGAAATGGTCGTATCGAAATCATCGGAACCGGCTATTTTCTTCGCCGACATGCTAGTGAATTCTTTCTCATTCTCGTTCATATATTGATTTCCACTGAATCTTTTCTTTGATTCGTTTTTTACCGGGACGTTTAGAAGAGTCTTTACCGCACTTTGTATTACGAAACATTTTTAAATAAACACTTCGATTTGATGCACTGCGAGACGAAAAGCACGAGAGACACAGAAACGAACACGTGTTTTTCGTACGTTATAAAACTGATTTCACCAGTGAAACTGCCAATAATTCAGTGTAAACACGCTCTATCTAACGTCAAAAATAGAAAAGTTTGAGTAAAATCATATACCGACAGAAAGGTCGATAAATCTACGAGAATTGGGCGACGCTATGTACCCGTGCCGTTCGACTTTCGCTACCTGCTTTGACGCGGTAGGCTCATAACTTTCGAATCATTACGAATTTCGATTTGCCCTTTTAGTACGATATTCTATACTGTTATAGCTATCGAAAAATGCAAAAAAAATTTTCGATTTTTTTGACCTAACTAACCAGACAGTACCCTTAAGTCAATGGGATGCTTTAAAATTACATTTTAAGCTTGCTGCGGAAAAAGAACGATGTTATACTGCAGAACAGTTGTATGAAATGTACAATGATAAAGACAATCGAGTTTATTTGATTTTCCTGCCTTCTGTTTTATTAAAAGTTACTGCTTTAAACAAACTGTTTCAGTCTAACTCAGTTGATCCATTAAAGTTATTCGAAGATTTAAATGAATTATTTTATTTACTTTTGCAAAAATCGTTGTACCACAGCAGCTTGAAAAGACGTGCAAAAAAAATTTGGAAAACTTTAAATTCTTAAATTATTTAATGTCCATTGCATAAATTATTTAATGTCTGATTGCATAAATCTAGGATATGAATTTAATTATGCTGTCCAAGGTAAAATATATAAAAAAATTAAGAATATTAAAAGGCGATGCAAAGAATTCTTAGTGGAATTGTGCACTGAGCTTCAAAAACGATTACCAGAAAATATTCAACTACTCAAAAGTATTAGCAATTTCTCACCTCAATTGGCAACAAGTCAAATGAAGCCGGATATAACCGATATTGCCATGCGATTTAAGGGTATCTGCGGAGACGTTGATGAAACAATTACAGAATGGAATCTCTTGCATACGGTTAACATTAGTCATCGGAAGATTATTGGGTGCAAATTAATAAAATTGTTAAGGCAGGCGGACACAAAAGATTTGGACATATATCCAAACTAGTTTTAGCTTTAATGAATTTACCTTTTTTTAATGCGAGTGTTGAGCGAGCATTCTCAATTATTAATATCATTAAAGATAATTTACGAAATAGAATGTCAGTAGAAACTGCAGATACTATTTTACGCATCAAAAGTAATTTACCAAATGGCTGTCGTGCTTTTGAGCCAACTAAAGACATGTTAAATAAATTTAATAGCAAAACTATGTATTCTTCAAATTTTGTAGAAGAAATACTAGATGCATTCTATGAAGAATGCTAATTCTATGAATGCATCTAGTATTCTATCATTATACTTAATGTAAAACCAAATTAAATACGTTCGAATAAAATCATGGTTTTACATTAAGTATAATGATAGAATATGGCTTGGGGGGTTTGCATTGAGATCATCTGGCAACACTGCTTCACTGGTTGGATCATGTCCAGATCTTGCCTTGACCGGTTGGATCATGTCCAGATCTTGCCTTGGCTGGCTGGATCATACTCGGATCTTACCTTGACTGGTTGGATCATGTCCAGATCTTGCCTTGACCGGTTGGATTATGTCCAGATCTTACCTTCACTGGTTGGATCATGTCCAGATC